CTATTTAAACGTCATCGGGACGAAATTATAACATTTTATATACGAGGTTTGATACGTCATGTGGGATACTGGGATCGGGCTAGAAGGAATAAAGACAAAAACAATATTAAATAGAGTCATAAAGCCAAAGTTCACATGTCATATTATGTTTTACATTTATCTGTTTCGCGTATAGTAAGTACCTATAGCTATATATAATATTATACGCTTCGATTTTTTTATTTGGTTTAAACTGTGTAACAGTTCCGCAACGGTGCTATTATAGTAAACGCGTTAATATAGGATATCTCTAATACATACAAGGGTCATACAATTTACGTAAGACGCTCACAGTGTAAATTACACTATGACGATAAATTAATCATGTTTAAATATATACATTATACATATTATACTCATGCATTTCAAATTTAGTTTTAAGAGAACACAGACACACAGTTATATTTATTATCGGACGGAGTGTCTGTCACATGGCAAAATCGGTTTTCACAAATGTCCAATGTAATGTGCGAGTATACTAAGTTCAATTTGATTAGAACATAAAATGGACAATGGACATGTATTATAATTTGTAGAACAGAACACAGTTAAAATGTCGATTAAATAATATTTAAAGTGTTTATACAACTGATATAAAATATGTTGTCGAACACTGTATTTTTGGCATTTTAAACGGGGCGATTTAATCCAGTTGGAGTAAGTCATGAGTTTAACCCCTATAATTTGAAGATAAAAACTGTACTCTTTCTTTGTGTCAGCCAAACTCGTGGGCAGTGAAGTTACAAACAATTTTAACGCATTCGTGGCTGCACACTTTAAATACGTACCGCACACGAAAATAGGGAGGGGTAATCACACCCACGAGAACGAAAACCAATACTAATGTTTTTAATTTATAATATGTTAGGCGGTAGTAAATAGAAATTCCTAAAGTATAAACAAAGCTTATCAAATGATATTATAAGACAGTGCTGAATAGCAAGAAAACATTTTATTTTTTTTTTTTGGGAGGGGGCTCTGGATTTAGAAATGCTAGTAGGTACACTTAATACACTTATTATACTTATTGGATATTAGGTACTTTATGATCCACGTCTTGTTCATATACATGTACTCTTTTTATCAAACAATGGACATTTGAAGAAAAAAAATATTTTGTAAAAAGTATGAAATGTGAAAACATAGCACTAGCACTTAGCTGGTTAATATGGATATTTATTATCTATGTCGATTGCCGAGAAACTATCGTAAAAAGGTTATAGGTAATAAAGCTATTTGCTATAGCCCTATATGCCACTGCTTTATGTTAAACATAGCAGTGTGGTTCACAGTAAAAATATTCTGTTATATAAAATGGTAGATTCTGCAAACGTAATAACAATTAATAGTATATATTAACACCATACAAAATTTAAAAACTATAATTATTATTTGCAATCAATTTTAAGGTTAGGTTAATACACAAAATAAACCTTTTATAAATACAAATTAACTGTCGTAGTATTATCATTATATTAATAATATTTGTTACCTATTTCTGTATACTATAGGTACTACGGGCGTCTACGGCCCATACTAATATAATGGGGGAAATGTGCGCTTATTGCCTTCACTCCCTGGCTATGACACTAGAACACAAAAACAAATTTCGAATTTTTGAATGACTGCGATTAAAAGCGTACTGGCTTGTGTCTACTTAAATGTTTCTAAGCCCACTATGGAGTAGTGCATATTGCTAAAGGCAAAATTTTATAAATTACACGAAAGGACACAATATTATTATTGATGATAACTCTTACTACAAGTCAGCGGACGGCATAGAACAAAACAACATCGATACCACCGTATATACCTATATAATAGTATTATAATATGTGTTACATGTACCTATATGTTATTTTTACTGTTCTGCAATGAACAGTTGGGTGGCTTTACAAAATAGATACCCACCAAGGGGGGTGTTTTGGGTGTCTGGACACCCCCTTGAACTGTAACTTTAGAAATAATAATGTGTTATAACTTATAAAATAAATGCGGAATTTGGAAATTTATTATGTTTAAAATAAATATTTTATTATAACCCAGATATTATATGCATGCTATACAGCACAGAATAGTAAAGTATATAAACTTAGTTTAAAAACAGCTATATACCGTGTGTTCAATTTTAAAGGTAACAGGAAATATTCGATCGTTTGGCCTTGAATTTGATTCGGGGTTTTTATACTGCATATAGGACTTATAAATACATATTTTTTTAATAAATTCAAATTTTTATTTTTTTTTATCAGCGCATGCGCAGTAAAATAAAAATTTCTTAAATAGCAACCACTATTTTGGAGTCCGGATTTCGATTTCTTTATTTTTTCTGAACAACTTTGATCTTTACAGTTTGTTGATATCTTCAAAATTGCCATGTTTATGACGGTCGGAAGTTTTAAAATAGTTAATTCGTAAATAATTGTGTGGTGGATGATATCTCTCGGGATATCGTTCAGCATAAAGTGCCGCTGCGTTACGCGAATTTTGATGACATTCTCCAAAAATTAATACCATATTGGTTTTTTCGGAATAGTTTGCCATTGTACAGAAAATAATGTGTCACGCGCGACTTACGAAAAACGTTTGACTATTCACAATCAATTTTAGAATGCTATCAAAATATCTTATTCACACAGGTTAATAGTATAACTTTCATTATAATACTATTAAAAACAAATTAAGATAATAGTAGTAGATAATTTAGTAGTTTTAATAAAAATAAATTGTTATAATAATACCTATAAATACCTATAAATTAAGATAGACCGTTGAAAAATGCAATATTTACAAATTAACTATTTTAAAACTTCCGACCGTCATAAACATGGCAATTTTGAAGATATCAACAAACTGTAAAGATCAAAGTTGTTCAGAAAAAATAAAGAAATCGAAATCCGGTCTCCAAAATAGTGGTTGCTATTTAAGAAATTTTTATTTTACTGCGCATGCGCTGATAAAAAAAAATTAAAAATTTGAATTCATTAAAAAAATATGTATTTATAAGTCCTAAATGCAGTATAAAAACCCCGATTCAAATTCAATGTCACACGATCGAAATATTTCCTGTTACCTTTAAAATTGAACACACGGTATATCCATTACAGTTCCCACAGTTTAAATTTAAGTTTAAATTTCTTAAACTATGGCTGAAAACCAACTTAAAAATGGTTACCTACTCTGTTATTGAAGTAATCAATAATTGTAATAAAAATCTATATCCGAACACTTATAAACTACTGACCATTCTTTTAACCTTACCCGTGATATCTTGTGAAGCTGAGAGGTTATTTTCAACTTAAATTTGATTTTTATCTAAATATATTTTGTATAAATTTTCCGATAAATATTAAATAGCAGTCATCTGAAATTTGAGGAACTACTGAATACGCTACTGGCGAACACCCCCCTTGAAAAAATCCTGGTTGCGCCACTGATCTAGAGGCCTGGCCACTATTCAAAAGACGTGTTGTCACGCGGTTTTGGTGGGTTTTTCTTTAAAGAAGTAACGATTTCGTATCCTTATTCAAATTTAATTAAAAAACAAAATTTTAACGCGATTATATTATTATTTCGTTCGTATAATATCATATTATATTATACAGGTATAGGTTTCCTCGAGGCCACGGAGAATAATCCTATAAATAGTCATGTGATAAAATGCCGATAACGATAATACTCGAGTCTCGACTGTATATAGGTACGTACTTACAAGTATCGTACCTATTACGGGTGCACTGCAGTTTCACTTCAACAAAGCAAATTTATGCGTGCTGGACGACGATGTGTGCGGTGGCGAGGAAAACGTACCCCTCGTCGTGTGGGCAGTATAGTGTGAGACAAGTCTCATTAAAAGTTTACTCGTATATTATCACCGTCAACATACATATTACATATTATTGTATAAATACCACTGTATAGTATTCGTATTATATAAGCAGTATTTTTTCTTAGGTATTATTGATATTGTGTAATGTGTATGCATACAGGAAATCAGACTGCCGGGGATTATGTAGTTATTTTGTTCGTGGCTATGCGATAATGGTTATATCGTGAAACACAGTTTTCAAATCGCATTTTTATAATTCAAATTGGAAAATTAATATTATATGGCTGAGAGAAATTAACTTTTTTGTCCCAAAACATTCGGTGATTTACCATCCGACACAATAAGTGATTGCAAACCATGCAGGTTTTTTTTACCGCTAAACGGCTAATGCGGCCGGTTAATTGAATCGCTAGAGCTTACTCCGCCGTCCGCGCTTTTATCCGCATCATAATAATTGTTTCCGAAATTGCGCATACGTTTTACGGTGACTTACTGCTGACGTTTTTGGATTTCAGCCTTGTGTATTTTTCAAGGTTGTGTTCGCTACTGTTTCGTTTTCCCGTGTATACCATATAATGTTTTCTATGCCTATATATTTCTCAATCGGTCTATTAGAAGTACTGGTAGTCTGTGTATATAATCGAGCTGTTAATATGTAAAACTTTAAAATCACAGCCTTGAAAATAAAACAATATGTATAATAAAGCCTCCATCTGAACCGTAAGTGACAAAGTCACAGACAGACCTGAGGAATGAGGATAACTCTGGTGTCCCGTGTAATTACACGATTATAATAAATTGTTGATAATAGTTTTACGTTTACGTTTATAATATACATTATTGGTATTATAATATTAGTGTATGGTACATAAAATATATATTTTGGATCTCTATTTCCTATTGCCGGGTACCAGATCGATTCATCTTGACTTTTGCAAACATATTATGTTTATGGTCAGTTTCAAAATCATCCTTGCAATATTCTTAAAAATATATTATCCATACTATTACAACACTAAGTATTTTTCTTGAATAGTCTGAATTAATAATTTTCCTAGTCAAATATTATTAATTATATTATGTACTAATCATTATTTCTTACTAAATCTCAACTTTAATATTTATGTTTCAGTATGGTGGTGATGAATTTACACCAGACCCAGCTAGATTTGCTGCTCAAAAACCTGGTTCATCTGTGTACAATGCTGATTCTTATTACTTGGGTAATTGGAGTAATTTATATTAATGAACAATTTGAAAAAAAAAAAAATGTTAATTTCATTTTGTAACAATTTTTTTTGTATGGATATATACGATTTGTAGACGGCACTGGAAATAATAGCGATGTTTGGACAACTAGTGCTACTGCTCAACTTCAGTCTCCTACAACGTATACAACATATACCAACCCACCCAATTCGTTGCTGACCACGTCTCCAAACATGACGCCAAACAATTTTCCACCAACAAATACTATGCTAACACCAGAAAATTTGGTAAGAATATATCATTTAGTCACTTATAAGGGCTGAAGCTAACAATAAAACATTACATTTTGAATAAATCTAATTTAATGGGAGGTCATTTGAGCTTTATTAATGTGTATATTGCTGCGAACTACACTGTACAAACAAAATCCCCTTCAATGGTAACATCAAATTAATACATTAAAAAAAACACGAATACAACGTAAACAATATTCAGATCTCACTGTAGCCATTCTTATTTAAATATGTTTTATGTTGTACCATAGTTCTAAATTGTTAACTTTTGTTTTTAAAAATTTACTTTTAACTAAATTTGAATTTTTAGTTCATTTATCTTTGATAAAGAAAAATTAAATAATAGTTGTTGTAACTTTTTAGTATTACAAATATTGATTTTAAATTGAGACATTTGTTGTTATAGAAATAGTAAATCATTAACTTAATACAAAATTTTTATTAAGACATTTTATGATGAATAATCTTAGTTAAATCAGTTAAATGTATTCTAATTTTTACTAAGTTATACAATCTATTTACTATTAAAAACCCAAATACTTATAGAGATGTAAATTATTTTGTTATTTCTTATAAATGTAATATTTTTTGTAGAAATAAAAACTTTTTGTACCTATAACAAAATGTAATAACATTTTTTTTTTACGTTAATTGATTTTTGTACTATTTTATTTTTATCATAATGTTAATAATTAAAAAGCTGGTAACACTTATTAAAATATTAAATTCAATATTATTTTAGATAATTATATAATATAATAATAGTCTTCCAAAAACTTTAATAATTTGTAAATTGGCACCTAAAACAATTTTATTACATAAATTATTGAACAATATTTTTATAAAAAAATATATTATCTCGTTTGTACTTTTAAATTGTGACATTTATTTATCAATTTCATATTTTAGTTCTTAAGGTTACCTATAATAATTAATTTTTGTGTTTAAACTAAACAAAAGCATATTATGCAGATTTAAATGTTTAAATACCAACTCTAAATTAGCATTAGCATAAAATATTACAAGGTTTTAAAATGTAGTGTTACGAAACAAAAAAAGACAATTTTTAGTTTATAATAATGCATGACTAAAATTGTTGGTTTTGAAAACTAATGGAATTGTTGTAATTTCAATATGGCATTTAAAGTATATATATTAAATCCCCAATTCTAAATTAAATTGTATGATTGTGCTATAAAAAATTTCTGTATTTATTAAATATAAACCTCTACACATACCATCAAAAGCTCTCTCGCCCTTCCTAACAATTTATTTAAAAAAAATTCAATATAATATTCTTACGATTTGAATATAGGACTTTATATAAGGTTTTAAATGAAACATTAATATTTTCGTTTTTAAAAAATTAATTAATTTATTTAATAAAATATTTTTAAGTCACATCATATAGGTAATATGTGACAAATATGTATTTATTTGTTAGGATAAATTATCTAAAAAAATACTTTATACTATGGCATTTTTATTTTATTACATAGTTTTCACTATTCAAAATTGAGAGATAATTTAATTAAATTATTTTTTAAAAGTAACTTAAATATTTGCATTTTTAATAGGATTTATTAAAAATATGTTAACCTGTTTTATCTAATCATTTTTATACACTTTTAAGCTAAAATTACATTTTATCTTAAACAATTATTATCATTTATTTCAATATACTTATAATTATATATAAATTGCTTGACCTCATATTAGTATTAGAGAATAAATTATATTTTAATTTTACTATTTATCATAATATCATATCATTTTCAAATAAAGATAATTACAGTTCATTAATTTGTTGTATTAAATGTACATGAGCTACCTATATTTTATATTTTCTTTAATTTTTAAAATTTTTAATTTTAATTTAATTTTTTATACATCTGAGTCATAAGTTTGGTGATAATAAATGTTTATTTTTCACAGGGCTATAATACTATTGGTCCAAATGCTAGTATACCTCCTAGTGGTGTTTCACCTGCTACAGATGGCCTAGGCACTTCCCCTCTACCACCTATGTCAAGTTTGCGTGGAGCTCCTCCTTCTGCACCAAGTCCAATTGCAGTTACCCCTAGCTCAATGATGTACCCAGGACATAACAGTCCCACTATTCAATCTCCCGGGGATACACTTGGCAAAACTTTAGCATCAGTACGATAAATTTATTTACTTATTTGCTTTATTTTAATATACATAATTAACCTACATATTATATACATAAATACGCTGGGATATTAATAAGGTATGCTTAAATAGTTACCATTGAAGGCTTTGTTGCTTTTATTAACAAATAACACTAACAAGAATCGTTGCGATTCATTATACATTTCTTATAATTGTTAGGTGTAGTAGGGAATATGTTTTTTTTTCAATGTGAGAAATACCTGAATCCTATCCTTGACATTTTATACACCCCTCTGTGGTACCATTGCAGTGTTCTGTACCTACGTCAGTGGTTAATACTTATTTCAAAATGAATTTGTTGAATAAAAAAAAAAAGCAATTTCTTAAGATACAACAATGTGTTGTAGATATATCCTACTGACCAGAGTGTCAGCAGTTACAGTTCAAATCCATCTACACCTGTAAGTTCACCACCACCTTTGGCACCTTTAGCGCCTGCAAACAGTGCCGGATCTTGGACCCCTGGCGTAGTACCACCTCATCCTGGATCTCCTCATTTTCCTACTGACCATCGCACTATTCATTTGGTATGTAATATTCTAACATTTCTAACATTTAAATATAATAGCTACAATTAGTACTAACATTAATTGCTTGAATGTGGGTTGGTGTAAATTCTTGAATTATATATTTTTCTGTAGTTTGTTTTCACAAGTACATTTTTTATTTATATTATAGGGTAGTCGTATGGAAGAAAGACTGGATGATGCCATAAATGTTCTAAGAAATCATGCCGAAAGTCAGGCTTTAAGTTTAGCTGGTGTTCAACATTCCGCTTCAGGCATTGTACCATTATATCATCAACATTTAGTAAGTTACAATATTTTTAAGGTTTTTTTGTTTTTCTAAAGCTTTACTTGTTTAACTTAATTTTTATAATTCATTGATTTATTTTTAGGGAAGTCCCCATTCAGCAACTGCTACAGTCGGAGGTGTTCCAAATACTTACCAAACACTTTCAACATGTCAAGACAGTGATGGGCCAATCAAAATTGAAAGACTAAGCAATATCAGTATGTATTCATTATATTTTTTTTTTTTACGAATACCTATATTTTAATTTTTCAAACATTATTTAATTTAATTGTTGTTTTCTTTTTTTTTTAGAAAAACGGAAAGAACCTCCAGACAGTTCAGATACCAAGCCTACTAGCAGTGATCACTTGTTAGTAAATAACATCGTTAATGCCAATTCACCCCCAAACAATTCGCCTATAAATAAAAATTCAAAACGACCCCGTCGATAGTAAGTTTAATGTGCAATTTTTCCCCTTTTTGTTCTTAAAGACACATTAACTTAACTTAACTTCAGATTTTGTTTCGTAGAGGTGTCTCAGGTGTTTGATTATCAGAGCCTCAAACGAACAAATATCCATCCATAATAAATCTAATATGTAAATTCCCTCCTAAATATTTAACATTTCGCGAGTTAATTTTTATGAGTTTGTCATTTACTTATTTACTTTAGGTAAACTTGCACAAGATTATTCTACTAGTAATGCGTAACAATTATAATATAAATTGAATTTAAATTATCCAGTGAAGCATTAGTGTCGGGAAGCTACGTAAAAATAAAAAAATATGCGTAGCGTGAGTATGAATGTACACAACTTGTGTACTGATTCAAATGAAAATAGAAATCATTTAGTTGTACTATTATTTTTGTGTTCAGTTGACATTAAATACTGGCACACCTCTATTGGACCTCACCTACACGCTTGATTCATAAAGACTATTAAATAAGATATAGACTTATTTTGTGACTGTTATTTTAGTTGTTCTAGTGCTGATGAAGATAATGAAGATCCATCAACTAAAGCACACAGAGAAAAAGAACGCAGACAAGCCAATAATGTCCGTGAAAGGTAAGCTTCTAAATAATTAATAATTAAATTTTATAAAATATAATTAAATAGTCTTTGACTATAAAGTAAAACATCACAATTGTTTCCTTTTTTTGATTCAATTTCTACTGATATTGTTAATTTTATATTTTAAAACTGATTATAATTATGTTTATGTAATGTTGGGGAAAATATACACTTTTTTGCATTAAACTATATATATTAAATTAAAAATTCTTAGAACATAAAATTATGAATCATTAACTTTTAAGTCTTAACATAAGTTTGAAATTAATGTTAACTGTAATGTTTCGTATTGCTGTTGTACAAGTGTGGACGACGAGAGTGAAGATCCTGAATTAAAAGTTCAACGAGAAAAGGAGCGCCGCCAAGCAAATAACGCTAGAGAAAGGTGAGCTTTTTAGCCTGCAACTTAATGTGCGGCTCTTGGCTCCTTTTTTATATTATGTTAATATCATGATTTAATTTTAAATTTATTAATAACTATTTATGGTTATTTACATTTAATATTGAATATTGAAATTAAAAACTATAAAATATTGTTCACATAAATCAGTGATCAAACGTTCATTTGAACTCAGTCCATACCCCTTGTACACAGCTATGATTATCTGACAAATGCAAAATGAGTTCCAAAGAACTTATCTAAAATCCAAGCGTTTTTATTTTTTACTAATGATTTGTTCAAAATGTATTTTTTAATAGTTGTTATAAAAATAATATTATATTTATTTTCCTTATTCTTAATGTTTATTAACAAATATAATAATTTTATAATTAATAATGTCTACTTCAACTAAACTTGTAAGGAACAAGTTATTTAAATAATTCATGTGATACCTTTCGCATTGATAATTTATTTTATATTTTAAATGTTTTATTTTCAGAATTCGAATTCGTGACATTAACGAAGCATTAAAAGAACTTGGCAGGATGTGTATGACACACCTAAAAACCGATAAACCTCAAACTAAACTGGGTATTCTCAACATGGCTGTTGAAGTCATCATGTCATTAGAACAACAAGTTCGAGGTAAACTAATGATTCTTATAATTGTTGTAATTATTTTGAAATGTTTAGTTAAATATATATATTTATTTATTAAACTTAAATTATTAAATTAATTTTTTCAGAGAGAAATCTTAATCCTAAAGCCGCTTGTCTAAAGAGGAGGGAAGAAGAAAAGGCCGAAGACAATGTTGGACCAAAATTGGGACATCATTTATCGGTAGCACAACACATGGTTGTCCAAGCACCACATTTCCCACCCATGACTTTGGTAAGTTTATTTCTTATAAGAGTTGGTTATTTGTTCAATTGAAGAAATAGAAGTTTTAAATTTAATCTCAAAAATTCATTTATAGCCAAATAATCAAGCAGGCTTGCCTCATAATGGACCCCAGTAGCGATGAAGTACAACTTCACCTCAAATATTATGCTCCTAAGTGATCTGGAGGTGATGGCATTAGTTTGCCCTTACATTAAATCTCCGTTGAAATATTGCCAAGTATATTATATTAGTGATATTTTTTTTTCGTATGACATTGTTTTTTTTTATATACTTGCAACATAAATGATTTTTTTTGCCCTTTGTGAATATACAAACTAAGCCCGAAGTTTTAATAGACATTTAGATTATATATTTTAAATGTAAGACTGAATTCAGAGTATTTATCAGAGTATAAACGTACAATTCAAATATTTTTGCTCTTGTTAAAAGAAATATATATTATCGCACATACATTTTAATTTTTATCCTGAATTCAGTCTAAAATCCATACTTAATTTATACACTGAAACGTCTTAAATTTCCAAATCCCTTTTTCAATCTTAGTTTTGTTAATTTGAAACAAGTAAATAAATCACAATCATGCCTAACAAATAATTGCAGTAAGTACAAATTTGAACTCAAAACAAGTACCCAAATTATTTTGCAACTATTATCTTTTATATTATTTTTTAATTTAATTTAATTATTGTTTTTACAACTATTATCATTGGCGCAACTAATTCAAGAAATTAACATAATAAGCTTTTCTAGGTTAAATCCTCTTTTATATTCCTAAAATATTCTTTACCAAATAATTATATTCATATATATTATTTTTTATAACTATGAATTGCTCTTATCTGTTTAAAAATAATGATATGTTTATGTATATAATAATATATATTTACATTATATTTTGACCATGTGTGCTTGGCTTAAATCAAAAAAAATATTAAAAAATAGTAATGTGGGAGGGTTAAATGTCCCATATTGAACATAAATACTTGATAAATTTTAAACATATTAATTCTTGACTTTCCAAAATTAAAAAATTAGATTTTCTGTATAATATAATATGTTAGTTGACCATTATCTTAAAGAGCTACATAAGTAGTGAATATTATATAATGTTGAGCATTGGAAAATAACCCTACCAAGTTGTGCTAATGATTTTTATAAAATAATATTCAAGTTACCGATTACTTCTTAAGTTTGAGGGTTACAAATATATTCTTAATTAGTTAGTAGCATCTTAAATTAATCTTAAAATATTAACTTCTTTGCTTAGACTCACTCTGTCTTTACTGTAATTACTAACGGTATGATTATGTATGATTTATTGAAAGTTGATTTATACATTTATTAAGTAATGTATTTAATAAAGTTTTTTTAATACACATGATTTTTATTCATGTGATAAATACCAAATTAATTTTTATTAGTATATTAGAAGAAAAACATATGTGTTGAAGCTTTAATTTTTTTTTTCTTATCATTGTTTATTAAATATATTTTTTTTCTTGACAGATTAATATTTTTTTTAATATAACTATATATATATATATATATATATATATATATAAATTTGCATTTTTTAGAGAAAAACAATTAATTTCATTACGTTTGCGCCAGTATTAATTTTACAATCAAAAGTATTATTACATTTTGAAAAACATATTTCTACAAATATATTTTGTAAATTTATTGTAAAAACCGTTTCCTAATAAGAAAAATCTCCATAGTAATAATTTTTTAATTTTAATTTTAGGTTATTTTTATTTTTACATTTAAAAAATTTAAGTTTATATCATTTTTTAAGTGCTAAAATGTACCTTTAGATTATTCATTCGTTACTTGCTGCAATTTTAATATTTGTTCAGAATATAACAATAATGGTACCTATATAATTATAAAAATATCAATTATCAATCAAATTCAGTTCACAGTTAATTATTCAAGTATATTTAACATATTATGAGCTTCAATAAACATGTGGTATGAACAATTACTAGTGGTCAAATTTGGTTAAAAATAATATTGAAATAACAAGATTATTATTCAATATTGTCAAAAATATAATCCATTTAAGTGAAAAGATGAGTTAATAATATAAATTCAAATACAATTAGATGATAATAAATATTCAATTAATAGAGCCAATCTTTAAGAAAGATAAAAAGTTTTGGGATAAGTTCCTCTCACCTTCCTCTACTTTGACCACTTGTTATTATTTAATACTGTTACACATTTTATGTTTGATGGTTTTAGTTACAGACAAAAGATAAATATAATATGCTTTTCTTACAACTAAATATATGGTGCCTACAATAATTATTTTCCAATAATTTCAATCTATTGCTCAAAAGTTGATCCTGATTTATTTTAAATTTATAAACATATTTACGTTGATAAAGATATTCTTCACATAAACATTTAGCTACCAAGTTTAGTCACTGTCTACCAGTGGTATGGCAAAGTTTATATTTTTCAGATGCTAGTCTAATATATCACCCATCCAGAAGCACCAATAACCTAATAAAGGCATTCAATGTCGTACTAATTGTCACTACTTGTCATAGTTATTACTAAAATACTATAGTTTATTATCCATTGGCCATTACTCACCCACCGCCTATTAAAACTTTAAATTACCAGTTTTGTCACACCACATTACCAGAGTGACACGTAAGTTAGGCCATCTATATACCTATTGTCTGTATCTATCAATCATGTAACTCATAATAATTTTAAGGTAAATTGTGTATTTACGTTTAAAATACAATTTTTATATGTGGTATGAATGTTTATTTCTAATAAAAAATTCCAACAAGTATGAAAATGTATTTACATTAACATATTTAAAAAATGTTTAAATTTAAATATATAAAATATCAATTACATACTATGTATATCATGTACTATAAACTAATCCTGTCCCATGTATACTTTTGTGGTAAAATATAAATATGTGTACTTAATAAATATATTCTAATTATTGTATTATATAAATCCCACATAAATTAGGTTCATGTAAGACATGTTTTAGTGGTACATGCTGTACAAAATATAATGCTGCACTCAAAGTAAAATAACTAGTCAAAATATATATACAAGTAAATTCATACTTAATTTATAGTTATATGAGTATTATTATTGATTTTAAGACAGATAAGCTATGATACTAAGCTATTTGGCTTACTTTTGTATTTAGCACAATATTTTAAAACCAATGATAATACCAAAAATAACCAGACAATTTTTTATGGAATTTTATATACATTTTAGTCATAACTGTTGCTAATTCTATCAATATTGTAAAATTACATTTTATTTCAATTATTCCACATACTATCAACAACACTTTGTCCAATACATTCTAATTAAAATTGTACAGACTTTTACTGAGTGCAGTGTTATATAGTATGTATTATTACTTTCCAGTCTTGGATATATTTAAAATAATTTATAACTGAAATTCATTTTTGTTTTAATTTGTATTAATTTTTAGTTCTTGTATTATATTATTAATTCTATATATAAACTTATATTTTAATATAGTTTTAATAAAACCAGACATTTTTCCTTCCAAAATAATTGAATGTTTTTTTTTTTATAGAATTAATATTTTTGAGACTTTGGAAGTAAGAAATGTTTGGTATTATAATGTAGATTATAATAACTTTTAATTTGTAAGAAAAATGACTGGAGTTGTTCTGTATCATTATTTTAATCTACATAATTATACCTATATTAAAATTCCCCATTATTGTTATTACATTATTATTGATTTTTTTTTTTGTAAAATTAGACTTGTAATAATAAACATGCTGAAATATACATATACTGATATAAATTTATACACATACACTTATATATGTGTATACACTATACATCATATTTATGCATTAAGATTTTAGTAAACTATTTGTTAGGTATAAATGTATGTGTTATGATGCCATAATTTGTATTCTTTTCTTATTGAAACTCAAAAAATGATTATACATTTTTTTTTTATTATTATTATTATTATTATTATTATTATTATTATTACTATCATTAATTTATATTTGTCATTCTTTAGTATATTAATTAAATTTAATTTTGTTTTATTTTACGTTTAACTTTTAAAAAATGAACATCACTTTTAACATCACCACAACAACAATGAAAGATTGTCATCTATAATATTTATGTCCGTGGTTTACTGTATATATAGGCTATATTATTTATATGTTAATTTTTGTAACATTTGATTGAGAATAAAAGTTTAATAATATGTATAATATTATTAGTATAAGAGGCACTTGAGTATCCTGTATATTTCATAAACCAATTTACATCTTTTAAATATTATATTTATATCCTAGATTTATAATTTATTTGCCTATTCTTGTATTTCCTTTTGAATAAGTATACTTTTATAATTTTATTCTTTACATCCAATTTCATTTTTAAAAAACCAATTTAGTTTGATTTTATAATGAAATATGATTATTATAAAAGTCTTCATTAGAGAAAATAAATATAGATAGTAACCCAGTATTAATTATCAAACTGTGGATAGGAAATGTTCACTAATTATTAGAAATTGATAGTATTTATCCTGGTATGAATCTGATAACACAAATCTTCTGAAGTCTTAATAGTGTATGGCATTTTATAGAGATCTGCTTGGAGCACTTTTGGAATGAAATAATACTGATATAAATTCAGTAGTACTTTATAGTGAACTTAATCATCCAATTTAAGTTTGACCAACTTATAAAGGATCACCCTAGTTAGCATTCCAGTATGTATACAATATGCAATTAGCTTATGAATTTATTTATCCTTGGATATCTTTAAGGATATTATTGACAATCCCAGTTATGGTAGTCTGTTGAATATCATTTTTAGAAACTTAAATTGACAACAATTTGCTTGCACCACCTTTTGTATAGGATATTAGGATATCATTGTTAGCAATATTGTTCATTGGAAATTATATTTAATCCAAAAAGTCCATTATGGAGAAGCTATCCAATAGCTTAATCAAATAAAAGCTAGATAAGTTAATTTTTAATATTATTTATATTAATTATAATTAGTGTAAGTAGCAAAATGAAATATCAATCAGATTATACTATTATAAATAGA